GAGAGAGAGAGAGAGAGAGATGAGCCTTAAAAAATTCCCTTTCACTTTTTTTTTTTAAATGCGCTTTCCAAAGGAAATAATGGTGAAGCAGAGTTTGGGAAAGTGGCAGTTATCTTTGCATCCAGTCATGGTCCCTGTTTTATCTCCATCCCCAGCACTGCCTTGGTTTTCAGCTTCATTATCCTTTGTGGAGACTTCGGCAATAAACTAAATGTTTTCCATGACTACAGATTTGTGTTTATTCCCTTTCCCCTACAGCTTCCAAAGAGACCTTTGTGAATGCAGATCTGGTTATGCATTTCCTCAGGTGAAAACCACCCAGTGACTCCCTGCCGAGGCATACTTGTCCCAGCGTATCTGCTCTGTCTTCTTTTATAACCTTGTCTTTTGTCCCGTTCACCATTCACCTTATTGCAGCTACGCAAGGTTCCCCAAGTGTGCAATGCTCTGTATGTTCTGTGCCTCTCCGTGTGTTCCCTTCACGCCTGGGATGCCCCCACTTCCACCCTCCCTTCACCATCCTGCTTTGCATCTCTTCCTTCAAGAAATATTTCCGGTTCTTTCAGGCGGAGCCTGCTGTGATTCCCTTCTGCCACCACAGTGCCCTGTTAGTGAGGTCTGTGCCACCTTAGGCCTCTCTTCCCTTTAGACTTTGAATTACAAGTGTTTCATTCACTGTGTCTTCCCATGCCAGGGACTGCTGTACTTTCTGTAGGTACCACAGAAAGCAAATGAGACAGAATTCCTCCTCTCATGGAGCTCCCTCTACCAAAGGGAGACGGGCAGTAATCAAATATACCAGTGATAAGTGCTCTGTAGAAAGATACTGTAGGGTAACAGGATGGAGCGACAGGGATTGGAGGTGCTCTTTTACACACAGCGGCCAGGGGAGCCAGCTCTACTAAGGTGGCGTTGACTGAAGTGAGGGAGCTGGTAAGGTGGGTGTCAGGGGAGAGTGTCCAATTCAGAGTCAGATACAGCGAGAGAGAGACTGCGGGGCATCAGGTATAGGGTGGGGAAGGCTCAGAGGAATGGTGCAAAAACGTGGGTTGAATGAATTGATGAAGGGTTGACCTCTAATGTGCAGGTGGCTTTGGTGGGAGTTTTCATG